TTGTGATCATTTTGTGTAAAGTTATGAGGCTTTAAAGATTGCCATTTTGACCAATTTGGGACAATTAAAGCGCGATATAATTCGCGCTATTAACGCGTAAGCGGAGATTTAATCCGTCTCATAAATCGTTCCAAATTGGTTGAAAGAAGCTTATTTGCCCTAATTGATTTGTTACAGAAGCGAAATTCATTCTTTTGTACTTTAAATGGCGTGTGGCGGGATGATTTTCATAGAAAAATTTTCAAATTTAAGATAAAAAAATTCATTATATTTTATTTCATTTAAATTTTTTATGTTGTTTATGTTATTAGTGCTCCATAAACCTTAAAGGCAGTCGGAATATTCAGGGCTTCGCCCTGATACGAGTAGTCTTGTTATGAGTTTATGTATTTCTATTTTTCATCTAGAGCTGCACTTTAATTTTTTTACCTAATCGAGTCTGTATTTTTTGTTCCGAAAGCCATGGAAGTATTTTTACAAACTAAAACACTGGAGAATTTGAATTGTTTAAAGCAAACTCTCCAAATTTTGTTTGTCAGAAAAAATTTTTTGATCATAGATTTTTTATACTTCTTACCGGCTGAGAGCAATTAAAACGAGCATGAAGTCTGAGTTTTTTAGTTTTGTTCACATTAGGTATTGTTGATGGTTTTGCATTTGGTTTGCTTATTGTAGGCTTTTGACTCTTTCATGGCAACATGCATTTGTTAAATCAAGTAATAATTGTTCTTTATATCCTTTCATATCATGTAGAATGTTTCTTTTTCAAAGGATAAATTTTAAGAAGATAAAACAAAAAAACTCAGGTTGTAGCTTTTGAAAATTATTGACTCACATCATTTTTTCTTTTGAGCCATTAGTGTTTCGTTTTTTCTCGCGCATAGAAGTTTCAGTCTAATAGTTCATCGTCGGCGATTTTTTTAAGAGTTAATGTTTTGAACTAGAAAAAAAGGTCTTTCAGCCTCATTCGAACACTGTAGCCGAACGCAAAAGCCAAAAACTATGTTCGATTGAGTAATTGTTAAGTTGAAATCGTGTAAGGTTTCTGAGAAAGTACAAAATAAAAAGTCTTGTGAACACTAATTCTTGAAATTGTCCCAGGTAAAAAAGTCTTCTGTAGAGTAAGTTTTGAAAGATGTTGAAATAGTAGATCATATGTTTATATGTTTATTATCCCAATAGAAACCTATACTTATTTAGCGGCACAGGCTGTAATAATAATGGATTTAATAGTAGGTTCTAGCCAAACGCTAGAGCCACTGTGCCACACCCTGTTCTTGTTTGAACAATTATGCTTTAAGTTTTCTGCAGCAAAAGAAATATATCAACAGTAGCTGCTTTAGTAGAGGCAGCAGAAGAAATAAAAAGAACAAGGATAGCCGGTTACTGTGCAAGTGGCACAGATTGTTCCGACCATAGTCTTTAAAACACATTCAGTTTTGTTTTCAAGTAAGTGTAGTTTCTTCTGCGTGGTGTGATGAGGGTATTTAACGTAAGACTATAATTTAGGCTTATTTAACAGTAGGTCAATTGGACAAATTTTTAAAAGAAAAAAAGACAGGAAAAAAATAAAAAACAGTTTTTTATTAAATTTTTTGCCGGCTTTCTCGACACTGTGCACTTTTTGGAGCTTTTCGAATCACGACTGATAATTTATGACTTACCCCAGTCTGATGATTATTTGTGGTACCTAATTTTGCGTGACAAAAAGAAAAAACTAAAACACACTCAAACACGAAGTTCTTCCCCGTTTTTCAAATTGTCGGAACGGCAACACGTATTGTTTGACAGCAGAACTTTAACCTTGTCACGAAAGACGAACTATCTTGCAAAATAATTATTATCTTCAACATCTTGCAAAAATGTAGCTTGCTAGATAAACATCCTCTAAGTTTTTTCAGAAAAACTCTTTTTGAACTCCAGAAAATATCATAGATCTTTTTTTGACTTTTAGTTTTTAATATATTTTATAATCCTTCTTCCAGTTTTACATATCTAGCGACATATTTTTTTTAGATTTGAGATATTCTGTATTTTTTGTTGTAAAAACACAATTCAATGCGCTACTCTTCAACCGACCTAACATCCATCATTAATTTTTTCTTGCTCTCTTGGGGCGATTGCTGAGCTGGCTGTATGTGTGTATGGTTATCGTAAAAATATCTGTGTTTGCGACAATTCATAACAAGCGATAGTTCTTAACAGTAGATAAAGCCGGAAACACTGGTTTCAGGAGAGTATTAATCACCCAGCGGAGAATCTAAGCGTAAAAGGTGAGCGCAGAGCTTTCATTGGAAAATGTAAGGGAAGCTGAGTGAAGCAGAGCAAACCTTGTTAAGAATTGTTGCCTTATTAAGAATTGTCTCCTTGTTAAGAGTTGTCGCCTTATTCGAATTGTCGCACTGGAGTTCCTTGGATGAAAATGGAATATATTTGAGCTTCCTTGACAGTGTCTATAAAAAGGAAAAATAATCACTCATTAACAATTAACTATGAAATAAATTGCTAATAATTAATAAAGCATTAAAATTGATTGCTAATCATTTACAAGACTGCTCGTATTATTACTGTTTTTTCCGACTGAATATTCCGACTGTCTTTTAAGATTTATGGAGCAGCAGTAATAACATAAAAAAATAAATGAAATAAAACAAAATGAAATTTTTGTTTAATAAATTTGAAGTTTTTTATGAAAATCATCCCCCGCACGCCATATAAAGTAAAAAAAGATAGATTTCGTTCCTTGTAACAAATCAATTAAGGCAAATAAGCTTCGTTCAAACAATTTGGAACGATTTATAAGACGGATTAAATCTCCGCTTACGCGTTAATAGCGCGAATTATATCGCGCTTTAATTGTCCCAAATTGGTCAAAATGGCCAAAATGGCAATCTTTAAACCCTCATAACTTTACACAAAATAATCACAGGTAAAATATCTTTTCAAATTTGAGCTCAGGACAACAATACATTTTGAATGATATAAAAAAAATTCCGTCGAAAATGGCTAGTTAAAAAGTCGAAATTTGTCTCAAGAAAAAAAACCCACCCCGAGCACAAATATTCCGTTATTTTCGTATCGAAAGTCGGAACAATGAGGCAAGAGTTTTAGAATAAATAACTTATTCATTAACTCATTTTATATTTATTTGTTCTTTAAATAGCGTTTGGCGAGACTTTTAGACAAAAAATCTGAAAAATGGAAAAAAAAATTGAAAAATTAATCAATTTTGAGATCAAAAAAAATTACAGTTTTTCTCATTGCAGTTGAAAATTAGCTAAAACGTTTGGGGCTTTACCATTATACGACCAGTCTTGTTTCACTTTACACAAAATTAAGTCTGGGATGACTTTTTACTGGGATGATTTTGACTCACCACCTTTTTAAATTTGTTTTGGATTATGGGGCTGTGACTATCAACGCTAGCTAAAAACTGCCACGAAACTGATAGAGCAGAAAACAGTAATTGCTCAATACCCGGCTTGAGAAAAAATGGTTATCATACATTTTTCATTTATGAAAAAAATGCTTATTATACTCTTTCATACAATTTCTTAGAGTAAAAGTATATGTATGGAAATAGCAAAATAAGCATTTTTTCCATAAATGAAATTGTATGATAAGCATTTTTTTCATACTGTGAAATTGTATGATAAGCATTTTTTTTCATAAATGAATGATCAAAAAACTTTTCTTCGAAATTTCGTGTTTCAACCGAAACACTAACAAAGGATTTTTTGTCATGAGAAAACACAGAGAGTAACTGCATTTGGTGGTTTCAGCCATAAAAATTAATTTTAACGTTTTCACATAAAAAAGATATACCAAAAAGTAACTTTTTGAATATTTCTAGATAATTTTTAGCTTGAAAATTATGATGGTTGAGAAAAAGGGCCTGTTTTTTATACAAATTCATTTTTATTTTAGCAAATGAAACAAACGATAATAATCTTGCTTACAGAAAAAAAAAACATTTTAATGAGATTTGTGGGTTTTTTGGGGTGAGAAACTCATCCTGAACTACGTTATAAACAAAAAAATGTCAAATTTTGCATGCAATTTTTTTTTCTTCGTAAAATTATACTTTAGCACAAAAAAAAATTGCAGCCAAAAAAAGGATTAAAAATTTTTCACCTCAAATTTTTATTTTGTTTATGATAAAAATGCATATCATACAGTTTTTATAAATAAAAACTTTTTGATAAGCATTTTTCTGACCGAAATTTAAATAATGTTTTTGATTGTCAATATGCCCTCTATCATATGTAAATCTATTTAAAGTAAATCTATGTAACTTATGTAAATCTATTTAAAGTTACCCAGACACGTTTTTTGATGATTTTTGAAAATTTTGTTTTTTCTATGACAAAATGACTATTTTATAATTTTCATACATAAAAATTTATGATAAGCATTTTCTATAGAAAACTTTACATCATTTTTTTAATGGCCAGAAAGCTTCAAAAGAGGCAATTAGACCAAAAAAATGTTCATTAAAAACTTTTAAAACACTTTTTAAATTTTGTATGAATTTTCTATGATAAGCATTTTTTCCATAGACTTCATATATGAAACTGTATGTTAAGCATTTTTTTTCTATGGACGTCAACCCGGGTAAGGTATTCACACATTTCGCCCCTCACACGTTTCGCCCCTCTTAAATCTATTGGCACATTTCGACCCTCACACATTTCGCCCCTCATAAATTACTGGCACATTTCGCCCCTCATAAATTGCTGGCACATTTCGCCCCTAAAATGTACAATAAGAAAGCGGCGTTAGTTAACTGTGTAATAAGTTAGGGGCGAAAAGTGCGAGGACGAAATGTGTGAAATTATTAGGGGCGAAATGTGTGAGGGGCGAAATGTGCCACTAGATTTAAGAGGGGCGAACTGTGTGTGGGGCGAAACGTGGGACATTCGTTCAATAATACCTAAAACCCTTAAACATTAGTTTGGACTGATGGTAAAGCACAAGATAAGACTTTATTTAGAACTAACGGGGATTTCCCTTGGGTCCCGGCCTCAATCTGTTTTCATAATTATTTGCCACCAGCAGTCTCAACAGCATATCTTCATCCTGCTGGGGGGAGTATTTGCTCTTCTGTTGCGGTGGCCCCGATAACATGTCATGCGATGGGGGCAACGCATCTGACATTGGCACAGTGCTCTGTTGTAGCTGTGTGGTAATTGATACGCCATAAGAGCTGAAAAAAAGTAAGTGTTCTGTAACCTTTGAAGAAAAGAATTGCAAGAACGTTTCTTCATGCTGTTTCCTTGCATGAAGTTTCTCCGACATCATAAGTAATTGAGCAAACTATATACATAAACGAGTTTCTGAATAGTAGGTCAATGAAAGCTGTTTCACAGCAGGGACCAATCTAGGGTTAGTGGGAGGGATTGCGTTGTTTTTTGAGACTGACAAAGTGGATTATTTTCGAGCTTCCTCGAATTGTTGTTTAAATCATGGGAAACGAAAACTTGAAAATTTGTGCCAAAAATGACGGTTTTCTTTGTACCACTCAAATTTAATGGCTAAGAGCCGAGGAAAAAACGCACAGTATTGGTGAAGTAAAAACAGCGTGAGCAGTTGAAATAAACGTTCTAAAATTCTGTAAGAAACGCTATAAACCCTCCGTGCCCGAAATCAATCAAGAATTCAGCGCTCATATTATTTTAAATTTAAGGTTTCTTGAAAAAAAAATCAGATAGCAAAAAGGCGAGCTTTTGATTGACACTGTTTTTCCCGTATTAAAACCTTGATGTTCTTGTCATTCTTATGCGTTAATTATTATCCCTTATTCAAACTGGAATGTATTAATTTGCCTCTTACGCGTAATTAAAAACGCTATACAGTTCCGATTCCAATCATCCAGTCGAAATTGGAAACTATAAACGCGTTTTTGTTCCGACTTTCGTAACGAAAGTAAGGGAATATTTGTGCTCGGGGTGGGTTTTATTTTCTTCAGACAAATTACGACTTTTTAACTAGCCATTTTCGAAGGAAATTTTTTTTATCATTCAAAAAATATTATTGTTTTGGACTTAAATTCTTAAAATTTTTTGCCCTATAGACCTTAAAAGGCAGTCGAAACATTCAGGGCTTCGCGCTGATACGAGCAGTCTTGCTCTACAATTAATTGACATTAGAAGAAAAGGAACAAGGGCGAAATCTGCTTTAAAAAATAATGAGGCAACTCGTTTTCTAAAATAAAGATCTAAAATTTTGCCCCAAAAACGGGTCACTTTTGGCCCATTTTATTCCGTTTTTTGAAAAAAATTGACAGCATACTTGTGCTCGGAATGATTTTTTTCTCCAGACAAATGTCGACTTTTAAACTAACAATTTTTGACATAGTTTATTGAATTCATTCACAAAGTTTTTTGTTCTCTGAAAAAATATTTCACTTCCGGTCGTATTTTTAAGGTTATGGGGCTAAGGGATTGCCAATTTGGCCTATTTGGGATAATTAATGCGAGATATATTTCGTGCTAAAACGCGTGAGCCGAGATTTATTACATCTGCGAAATCGTTCCAAACAGAATTAGGGCAAACTATTTGGTGTATTCAATAATTGTCTATATGCTAAAAATTTCACTTCGGACTTCACATGTGAGGGATGATTTTCAAAATAAACTTAAAAAAAAATGTTTCTTTATTTTGAAAATTTTATTCTTTTTATAAATGCAAAACTACTCCGTAGACCTTAAATTGCAGTCGGAACAACCAGAGCTTTGTCCTAACAGGAGCTATTCAAATAAAAATGAAATTAAAATGAACCGAACAACTGTTTACTCAACTTTATAACGCATGTCTCTTATGTATCCCAACAAATTTAAACGAGGGTTTTGTTCCGCGTATTATTCCGAAAACTTACTGTTCCGTTCCAACCTATTTTGTGAAAAAACGTGAACGTTTTTGGGCAAATTGACTATCACATAAAAATCAGACAGGTTTCAGTCAATTTAAAGTTCTGTCATGGGTGATTCGTAGAATAAAAAATTTTCTCTTAGTACCAAAAAAACTTTACTATGGTTTTTTTTCTGCTATTCAGATCATTGAGTCTTCTTTTAAAAAACTCATTAATCGTCTTCTTTTTAGAATTAAAAAAAATTGATTACCTTATATATTACAGCAAAAGCTCCATATTGCTTGAAAAAAAAACATTCTGAAAAAACATTGAGATTTATGACAAAACACGAAATTGATTATTTCTTCTTATTTCGTTTTGTTTTGCAAGTATGACTGTGGCCGGTGCTATTTGCAGATTGAGCAGTTAATTTTGCGAGCAAACAAAACTTTTGTGAGCAAACAAAACTGCTAGTATCAAGGTGAAACCCTAAATGTTTCCCTTGAACATCTATGAACATCTTGTTCGGTACAATTGATGAAAAATGATTAAAAAACGAATTTTTTTTGAATATTTTTTGTCCGTCATACGCAATGTACTGTGCAAGTTGATGTTTTTAGTGTCAATTGAGGTACTATTAAGACCAAACAACTCTCTGCATTTCAATTTATTTTAATTTCTGAGCTTAAAAACTCGCCAAAAAAAATTAACGGGATATATATTGCGCGTTAATTAGCCCGATTTGACAATTGGCTTTTTCGAAACTCATATAACCTAAAAAATGATCACAAGTGAATTGTCTTTTTTAAACGGAGCTTAGGACATTGAGACCTTTATGATGCAGAAAAACCTGCACCAAAAATGGCTTATTAATGTCGAGTCGAAATTAAATTTTGTTTGAAGAACTTGGTTGAGTTCAAATCTCAGTCAACAGTATAAAAACAAATTAGCAAGAAGAAGTGACAGGGCCAAAAAACACTATAAAAAGTTCTGTGCTTATCGTTTTTCTATTTCAAGTTTTCAAAAAAAAATCAAGCAGGGTTGCTTGCAAGTATAATGGCGACTTTGCTTCGAACAATTGCAAAGCAGCACATTTAGTGTGCTTGTTTAGTTTAAGGGCTTAACAAGCAAGTTAATCAATAGTTATCTATGTGAAAAAACTTACCCAGTACAGATCCACGGGAAAAGAAAGATTATTCTGACCAGAATATAACGAGTTGACATAATAAGTGACCAGAAGTTAACAAAAATAACTTAATTGGATCGGTCACATGTCTTTTTAACCTTGTGATATTTTGAACTAGAAGCAGTTTATCTGATTCCCTTTATCATTTATTTGATTAAACTGGGATATTTGCAAGATTATTGAATATGAAGAGAAAAATTGAGAGTAAAGTTGGGTTGATGGTGAAATAATCACCTTCGGAAAAATACTAGAAGCTAATTGGATTTAAAAATTCCCAACTGAGACTAAAATTTGACGCTTTCTGATATTCAACACCGGAAAACTTTCTGGGGTATAATTTCAAAGTTCAATGCCGATCTAGAACAAGAAACTGCAAAATATGTTTGAAAATGGATATCCTGATACATTCGAGTTATCGCTATCAGTTCCAGATGCATTAGCTGCAAAATGATGTGTTAAATGACTTCATTTCGTTATCTTTATAGGTTCGTTTCCGGGAACTCAGCTTGAATTCTAACCTATGCCCAGAAATCAACGGACGGAATCAGCTGATTTTGAGCTAAGTTCAATTAATCATTTGTAACAGACCAATTTAACCATATTTTAATCCAGCAAATTACAAATATCATTGAAATTGAAATTAGCTTTGAGATGTTTGTAAGTTTTTTTAAGTAAAATTTCAAAAGTTGAATTACGTTTGAAATATGTATCAAAAGTTTCTTTTGAAAATAGGCTTAAGCATTATGTGAAAATAAATAGTTCAAAAAAGTCTAGTTTTATAACAACAAATAATTGAATTTGTTTCTTTGTTTTTTTTTTCGGGAAACGGATATAAAGAGGATACAGATTGAAACTGAGCGGATAGAAAATTGAAAGGTAGAGTCTCCTGACCAATCCTTCACGTCAACCTCATTGGTTAGAATTTGTGGGATCTGGGACTGGAATAGGGAGGGGGTGAGATGAGTAGGATGGGGGTGACGCCTGGGTGGTTAGTTCATTACCAGATTTCATTACTGCACTTCCTCAGGCAGTCAACTATAGTCAGAAAAGTGCCTCTTATAAATTTCATCAACTTAAATCATCATTTTCAAACCCCCTTTTCAACACAGTCACCCTTTTAAACCGTCCTAAAGACAATCTACCTCTTAGTATCTCTCCTTTTATCTTTCCATTAAAAGAGAAGAAAAACACGGAAAATGAGAGAAAATGCAAAAAAGTACTCCCAAATTTTGCCAAATTTGAATGAACCTCTGTACTAGATTTGGGTCGTCTTAATAATTGGGAAAATCCGGCTAGTAACTGGAAGCGATTTTCTTTCAAGATTGATTTTTACTCTTCTTTTCCTCAATTGCTATTTGGTGGCAGCTTCTAATCAGCGCAATTGGTCGTCACACCTCATTAACTGGCCCGAAAATCAATCAATGCGAAAAGAAAATCTTATCGTCGAAACCTGGTGATACAAAACTGCTTTCATCACCAAAATCAAAATTCCCATAAAAATGGTTAAGACACAATTTCCGAAATAGATTGCAGTCGCCAACACAATCTAAATAAGTTACATCTTCTGGTCTGTAAAATATCGAGAAAGCGCGTTCATTTTCATAATGTGCTTCGATTTTTCTACAAACTCGTTGCAATTCATAAATCAACAAATCCGTATTATCATGTTTTTCATGCAAGGGTTCTCTTTCAAGATTTTTTTTTTGGTTAAGTTTAAATTGTATGGTGGTAACTACAGCATCAGCTTAATTCGACAATATCAATTAACATTTTTGGGTATTTTGGGTAATTGGGTGGATTTTTGATGAAGCTTTCTAATAGCTTATATATGTGATAAGGTCTCTTAATCGGCTTTGGCTGTGATTCGTTTGGTCGACTCAGAGATCTCAGAGTGGGTTATTTTGGGTAATTGGGTGGATTTTCGATGAAGCTTTCTAATAGCTTGTATCTGTTATCAGGTCTCTTAGTCGGCCTAGGCTTTGATTCGTGTGGTCGACTCAGAGATCTGTTTCGTCCATATGTTCCAGGCTGGAAAATCATAGTCGACATTGGAGATCCAATAACTGGTGCTTTATCCGGCTCATCGGAAGCGCCGTTGTGCGATGATATAGTTCCATTTCTAGAGAAGTCTAAAAAAAACTTGATTAGAATAGAATGCTTCAATTTCAGAAAAACGGCTGGTAGTCGAGAAATAGCTAGTATACAAATTTTTCGAATCAAAATCTCAGCAAAGAGTTGAAGCTGAACTGTTCAAAATATTCAATTGCAAATTTTGTTAGAAATGTTGCAAAAATCACTTCGATTGATTAATGAGATAATTTACCAATGAACTTTTCAAATTTTCAACACATTTGAGGAGATAAATAAAGTAATGCGGTTCCTGCGAATCGCAGAGGAGCTATCAGTAGGCCTTAACAGTCCTGTCGAGGATAGTCCATTTGTATTATCTCCTAACATTCCAGACTGTGTAATTTTTTTGCGACTCAAGGCCGTTTTTTGCGTCTAGAACTCTCACGTGGTACCTCTATTGCAGCTGAAATTGACCTAGTTTCTCAATTACGATAGAAATAAATATAGAACTACTTCTGAAAACAGACCTCTAGAGTTGGCCGCAAGATAAGAAGGTGGTGGTTTGATATGCTTCGTGAGAGGACCCAGACTATTAGTCCTGTTGAACGACACGCTTGGCTGTATCACCCGATTAACTCCGAAATTAGGTTTCTGAGGCTGTCTCAATTTCTCCATAGTTTTCTCCTCCTCCTCCATAAATTTAGCATACACCCATCGAGTGAACGCACAGCCGAATGTTCGACTCGTGTTTATCTCCACCATTCGCAGAATCAGGACTCCATCCGGTCGCAAGTATTCGTTCACGAACTTCTCCAGACTCGTCCTGTGATCGGCCAGTTTATAGTATTCCACTCCAAAACGTCTGCTGGCTCGCTTGACTGCCGTGATTGTGTAATTAATGCGGTTGCAGGGTATGGCCAGACGCCAAAGCCACATGACTAAAAACGAAAAAAAATATCAAAATTGAAGAGTTTTGCTGGAAAAGATGATCATTATAATAACATAAAAAAAACTTTGTTAGGTCGCATTTACGATTTATCGCAGTAGTTTGATTTGCCTCTGGTTGTTTCAATTTGGATAAAATTTGGCTGATGTTTAAAGAAATCGAGGGGGGAGCGGAATTTTTTGACAAATAATATGACCTTCCCTTTCTGCGAGGCTGCAAAAAACACTAACACGATTTCACTGTCAAAAAGATTTCAATGCCCGGATGCTAATAAAAAGTTAAAACTTACTTAGATTCAACGAAGTCAGCACAATATTCAAAACCAAAATAGTCCACACAATCAGAAATATCTTCTCCGTGAACAAATTGATTGTCAGCACGCACATCACAGTATAAGTTTTCACGTATCCGGTTTCCCTCACATGAAAGTCACAAAGGGTTATCTTGGGAAAGAGTGATGTAACCATTCTCTCACTTGCACCATTTTCGATGAAAAGTTTCGAAACTGTGACTCCAAAATAAAAAAAGTCATTTCCGAAGAATATAGTCAAAAACCAGAGGTCAACCAGAGCAACCATGATGTATATGAGTTTAATGATCAAATAAATTACAGACACTCTGTTATGATGGTAAACTCGGAAAAGATTGAAACTGTGACAACTTGAAGGTCGTAAGCCCAGATGTTCGTTTTGCAATTGTCTCTGCCTTAGGTAGTGGTCTAAGGTTTTGGAAGCCGCGTCGAAAGTTTCGTACAGTTTCCAAACATTTGTCTCATTTTCCCTAAAAAAATGTTACTAAATTTATCAACGGTTCTTAAACTAATTTTAGCGTCTCTTTCCCGAATTGTAGAGGACCTATTTTCAAACTTGTCCAAGAAGGATAGTCTTTTTTTTTAAAGTATTTTGATCATTTTGTTTCTGAAGAACTTGCATTTTTGATGCTAGTTTTTTAAATTGATATTGAGTTCAAATTAACTTCAACTTTTTGCAAAACAGGACTGCTCGTATCAGGGCGAAGCCCTGAATGTTTCGACTGCCTTTTAAGGTCTATGGAACAGTAATCACATGAAAAAATTAAATGTAATAAAAAGAAAATGAATTTTTTCTAAATCTGAGATTTTTTGGCATACAAACTACAAGGTGATAGGTTTTGATCCTAGTAAAAAATCAATTATGGCATAAAAGCTTCTTTCTACCAATTTGGAACGATTTCAAGACGGATTAAATCTCCGCTTACGCGTTAATAGCGCGAAATATATCGCGCGTTAATTGTCCCAAATTGGGCAAAATGGCAATCTTTAAACCTCCATAACTTTACGAAAAATGATCACAGGTGAAATATCTTTTCAAGTTTAAGCTCGAGACAACAATACCTTTTGAATGATTTTTAAAAAGTTCCGTCAAAAATGGTTAGTTACAAAGTCGAAGTTTGTCTGAAGTAAAAAAAAAAACCCACCCCGAGCACAAATATTCCGTCACTTTCCTTAGGAAAGTCGGAACAATAACAAAATACTTACGTTTCTGTGAACCTCTCGACGTATGCATTGATGTTAATTGTGTGTTTCATTGTCGCATGCCAAAAGAAATTCGGGAGATAAAAGCTGAACGAAAGCATTCCTGAAGCAGATAAATATATTCGAAAAACTCATATAGATCAAATAGATGTGACATTATTAGGAACTTTTTGAATTGCTGGTTTTGGAAAACTATTTCGAACTTTATGAGATCAACGAGCAAGAGTTTCAGACGTCATTGGGCTCCTTTTTGATTAATTTTGTACCTCAACAAGAGTGCGGTGGTGAATTATGGTACGAATAAAAGTGTTCTTTATCTGGTTTGATTTGTTCTCACCTAATATGATTGGCACCCACTGGTAGTAGGCTAGTTCCCAGTCTATGTTCAGTTCATCCCTCGCCTCCCCCACTGACATGTGGTCTGGGATGTAGTAAGTATTCCTCATCCAGCAGATATTGTCCACATACTGGATCCATTGAGCTAAAAATTACAAAAACCTATACAAAAAACACTTATGCTAGATAAATATACACTAAAATAAAACTATTTTAGGTGTTCGGAAAAACGTCTTTGGATAAATCAGCCATGTAATTCACTATTTTAAACTCAGCAAAATATGCAAATATGTCTCAGAGTATTTCAGAATCAATCACCAGCTATTTTTCGTACTATTGTTAGATATCCATTTTTGGCTGACTGGCCCTAAAATTTTTCTACACCTAAATAATTTCCTAGAGGGTAGGACTCTATATGAAAATTACATTACAGCTGGTTACCACCGCGACCATAAATCGAGATAGTCGGCAAAGTAGTCTTTAACCAATTGAACACTTTTTCCTATGAAAGCGACCGATTTTTCGTTTTGGTAATTGCGAAATCCCACCCTCGAAGTGAGCATTGAGAGGGAATTATACGTGAATAAAAAGTGAATTTGCTCAAAAATATCCAATTCGGAAAATTTGGACGCTCACTTGTGAAGTACTCTGGTGTCCAGCAGTCGATTGGGTCTCCCACGTAGGACTTGAGGGTGCTGAGGAGGGCGAGGGAGAAGAAGGTGATGGTGGTTAGCTGGAAATTGAGCTTGTCAATCACATTCGTCGCCTTAGTCGACCCCGGGTGCTTCAAATTCTCAATGAACGAATCCAACATAATGTTGATAAAATTATCAAACCAATTTTTAAGAACTTCAGAGCAATATACGTTGTGCCGCTGAAAACTTTCCGAGGAAAAAAAGGCCAAATTTTTGTGAAAAGTCTATGGAAACAGAGATTTTTTACCTTTTGTCAGTCTTTTTAGTCATTTCTACGGTTTCTATTGTTGTTTCTAAAAACGATAAGTTATTAATATCAGATGAAAACGAATGAATTTTTCATTCGTATGGTATCAATACAATTCGTGTAATTCTGGTATTTTATAGCTGCGTACTTTCACAATTGTTAAAATGCTTTTTCGTTTACATATATAAAGTTAAATACTATAAGTGTTTTGACTAAATGAACAACACAGCAGTCATCTTGGTTTAACCTTTTGCGAGTCGAATAAGTTTTCGAAGCTTTGAAAACAAACTTTCAAACTTGAGCATAATCTGAGCCAGCTTAAGGACCGAGCGAAGTGCTATATTTGCAAATTCCATCGCGTCCAATTTGCGATAACGTTTTTTTCCAATTGCAACACGCAATTTTTGAAGTGATATTATTATACCCTGACGAGTAAAAAAGAATTGCAACTGGTCAGCAAGTCACCCATCAGTACCTAGTCGAGTGGTGCAAACTTTTCCATAACTCGAATTAAGTTCACTTTTGAAGAAAGGGATGCAATAATTATGCTTGGAGTGGTTTTTATTTCAATATCTCTAGAAAGTGACTGATTATATGTGCTCGTGGTGGTTTTTTCTTCATTTTTTTGACTAGCCATTTTAACGGAACTTTTAAAAAACTATCTGAAATCTTTTGATAGTCTGAGCTCAATATTACGAGGCCAAACTGTGCACTAGATAGGCGCACAATTTTGTGTCTCTATAAACCCGGATTCCAGAGGCAAATCTTTAAAATTTTGTCGGAACGATCAAAGAAAATAAAAGAACAAAAGAAGAACAAAAGGGAGCGTCCTTGTTGCGGAATCAGCTTACAATTCACATATTACACAGTTTGGCGGCGTAATGAAAAAAAACATTAAAAAAAGGTTTTTTGACTGTGATTATTTTTCGAAAAGTTATGAGGATTTTAAAGTTGAATATTTGACCAACTTGGGATAAAAATTGGGCGAAATTTTCTCAATAATTTTATCATTGCTTCAAAATTTTTTTGGGTGACGCAACGCAGTATTTTCGCGTGACGAATTATACTCTACTACAAAATCGTTCCAAATTGAATTGAGGAAAATTAATTGGTCGTATCAATTTCATACTTCTCAATTTTTTTCACTTGATAATTGATATTGTCCAGTAACTATGTTTCTTAAAAAATTCTTCAGCAACTATTCAATACCTGGAAGGGCGATCGAAACACTCAGGACTTTGCTTTGATTTACCAGCAGACTTGCTTGTTTTCTAGAATCTTTTTCCCCTTTTTCAAAAATCAATCGCTTCTGAATTTGAGAAGGTTTGTTTTGTAAGTCGTATTTTTTTGAATAGAAAACAGCTGATCATCGCGTTTACGCTTGAGTAGTTGGTTTGAGCATATCGTTTGGTAACTTTTGTATATACATTTTCAAAGATTTTACTGAATCATTCTAGATTTTATTACGTCTTCAAAAGGCCTCAAAATTCTTCAATTACATGCAGAAGATTGAACATGTCACAGAAAGGGTTACTAGTCAGAGACAAAGATTAAACGGTTTATTCGTTCTGCATTATTTGAATAACCAATTCTGAAACTATTTTATGTAAAAGGAAAAGGAGAGATTACTCGACAAAATCAATGATTTTTGTTTAGTTTTAATGGCTTAAAATAAAGTCACTAAGACAAACTAGATAAGGATAAAAATTTGCTCTAAGAAATTGGTTGCTCCCAGTCACGGACAATTTTGAACTTCCAATAAACGTCACAGATGCATTATATTTACTTTTTTAGTTTCATTTTTGTTCCGAATTTCGATACGAAAATGACGGAATATTTGTGATCGGGGTGGGTTTTTTTTCTTCAGACAAATTTCGACTTTTTAACTAGCCATTTTTGACGGAATTTTTAATTTTTTTTTATATCATTCAAAAGGTATTGTAGTCTTGAGCTTAAATTTGAAAAAATATTTCACCTGTGATTGTTTTCTGTAATGTTATGGGGGTTTAAAGATTGCCATTTTGGCCATATAGGGACAATTAACGCGCGATATAATTCGCGCTATTAACGCGTAGCGGAGATTTAATCCGTCTTAGAAATCGCTCCAAATTAGTTGAAAGAAGCTTAATTGCCATAATTGATTTGTTGAAAGGATTGAAATTTAGTGTTTTGTTTTTTATATGGCGTACTTTCAAATGTTAAATGTTAAAAATTCAAATGTTAGAAAAAAAAATTTCGTATTATTATAATTTAATTTTTTAATGTTGTTTATGATTTACTACTCCATAAACTTTAAAGGCATTCGGAACATTCAGGGCTGCGCCCTGATACAAGCAGTCCTGTTACATTTTAGCCTTGCCGTAATGGGGTTCTGGTTGTTAGTTTTGGACAAGACTGAAACAATACGCTGTAACAAGATTGTCAATCCAATAGACAGCCCAGAAACATTTGAAAAAATTAATGAGCTAGTGCAAAACCAAAAAAACTGACTAAATTTAAACTTTTTTTACGTTTAATAAAACCTAAAGCAAATCAAGCTCCTTAAATTCAAATTAAATTTATGCTTGAGCATTTTTGAAAAAATTCTATAAATATTATTGTAATTGGCAACACGTATGAAAAACACACAAAAACAGTTTTAGATTAAATTCAGAAATTGAATTAGGTTTTTTGAGTGGCTTCTTTTTTTTACTTGAAAATAAAGTTCGTCATCTAATTAGTCAAAAAAAAATTATAAAAAAAATTCCAATCATTTTAATAGGAAATTGGCTACACAGAGGTGAAGTTGAGCTTCGCATCATTTGCGATGCAAATATAAACATTATGATTACATCAAAAAAAATGAAAACCAAAAAAAGGAATGAAAGTCTGTTTTGTTATATTACAAATCGCCAAAAGTCGAATAAAATTAGCCAACAAGTCACAAATACCTGCAACAATTTTATATGCATTATAAAAATCTAAGAATTTTCTGGAAAGCCAAAAAAGAAACCAAACGTTCAAAAAAGTCCGCAAAAAAATGCAAAAAAAAGGTCTCAATTGAAATTGAACTCCCAGGCTTTATCACCTCAAGCATCAGAGTTGTAGTATTGGAGAAAAAATTGAAGCTTCAAAAAAATGGACTCCGACAATTGAGCCAACAAAATTAAGCAGACGTACATGAGACTAAAAAAGTACAAAAACTAGTTTGCGAAGTAAAACCAGATTTCGGTTTGATTCAAACCATAATTCGTTGCCATCGCAGGGGTTATACCTATACGCCAGATGAGCCAGAATGTTGATTAAAGTTAAAACTATAAAGAAAAACTAGATAAATAAATCCAGGGAATAAGTCATGTTTAAAAAAAACTTGAAACATAATATTTAAACAAACTATTGAAATTTCCTGCATTAGAAGATTTTGTAATTCATTCAGTAAAACCCAAAAAATGAAGCAAATGCCATATCAAAATCTCACATTAGCAAAGTATCTTTTTATCTTACCTTTAGCCTTCTGAACATTGGTAAACTATTAAAAATAAACTTTAAAAAGTTCAAACTCAACCTGTTTAATAGGATTTTCCAAATACCACACATCAACTACCACACATCAACTACCACAAATGAACACCGGAGAGTTTTTCAGAGCATAAAATGTTATCACAGATTTGCTGACCTCGAAGATGATCGACACTTCTGTTCTACTGACGCAATCAACTCATAGTCCTAATTTGAAAATGATTTTTTTAACACGTCAAGTGCGTTAAAAAACGGCAAAAAAACGCAATTCAGAGAATCCGTTAATTTTAAAAAAGTAAAAGCATTTTAATTTAAAAAAATAGCAATTACATATGCAAAATATTTAATTTTTCAGCTTCAATTTTACGTTTTAACTTTCGCAGTAATAGAGTTCTTCTTACTTAGTTTTTGACCACGCTGAATTATTACGCTGAAACAAGACCTTCCATCCGCTATACAGCCTGGAGACATTTGAAAATGTTTTTGAGTTAAAGCGAAACAAAAAAATGACCAAATTTTGAGTTTTTCTTTTATGTTTTATAAAACTAACATCAATTCAATTTCCTTAAATTCAAGAACAGTTTATGATCGAATCTTTTTGAACGATTTATAATGTCATTTTTTCTAATTGACTACAAATCCAAAAAAACTGCTTTAGATTGAACTTTGAAACTGTATTAGTTTTTTGGTTGTTGTTTAAAATTATAAAAACATATTCAAACAATTATAATAAAAAATTGAGAACACAGAGAAGAATTTGAGCTTTTTATTATTTGTGAAATAATACTGAAAAAAGGTAATTACAATCAAGTAAGAGGAAAAACCAAAAATAGATAAAAAATCGTTCTTGTCATAAAAGAAAGTTAAAAATTGCTACAGAGCCAATAATACCTAGAAAAAAATGATCTGCAAAAACAAAATAAAAATGGAAGAAAATTGGGAGCTAAAAAAAGCTAAATTTTCAACAAATCTTTAATACGGGAACTAATCTGGCAAAAAGAAGCAGACAGACTAAAAAAAGTTACCCGAAAACTTTTACTTTGCAAAAAAATTAAATGCCAACTGATATTGAAAGCCGCGCTGTTTCATCTCAAGCATAAATTTTAAAGTAACTTGGAAAAACTGAAGCCTCGGAAATTTCGGCTCCAGAATTTAAGCCGATAAAAATAAGCAGACGGACGTAAGTCCGAAAAAGCACAAAAACTACTTTGCAAAATATAAACAGGCCCGGTTGGTTTCAAACCACAAGCCTTTGCCGTCTCAAGCAGATGTAATAACTCTATGCCAGATGAACCAGATGGTTGATTGAAATTGAAATTTTACATGAAAAAGTAGTTGAAAAAAATGAGGTTATGGTTCCTGCGAACGAAGTTGCTTACGGCAAAAAAGTCCAGTTCATGATTGCAACACCCTTGCTTATCGCAAGGGTAAGGAACAATACTCATGTTTTCATACCAAAAAAAGCGACGTAAATCATTCAAAAGTCAAGACCTTCAGTAAAAAATTTTAAAAACTCGAATAAAAAGTTTGAAACAAAGTTTTGAAACTTCCTGCATTAGAAGAGTTTGTACTTCATTCAGTAAATCCCCAAACATGAAGCAAAATATCATATCTTTTGCTGACATTCTGACCTAAGCCGAGTATCTTTTAATGTTATTTTTAGCGCTCAAAATGCTCTAAATTATTTGAAAAAAG